GGACTAAGCGCATGCTAAAATTTCAAAAATCTTCAAAAGAATTTCCACGATCGTTTTCAACTGTGTCAGAGATTTCAAATCAAAGTAATCTACGAACTTGCTCCTGAGCTACACCTTCAAAGTTCAATAATAGTGAAACGGCTGGATATTACATTATTGTAGGTCATAACGTTAATCCAAAATTAATCTCACTTGGACCGATATTCGTTCTTTGTATTACTCATTTACATATTACTCCTAAAGGTGGATCACCCTCAAAGATCTACGAAACGTTTTGAACTGATCACAAATTCATAAAGACGGCTAACATCAATATCAGCCACTTCGTTGGGTCCTTCAAGGCTTTGTCTACCGAATTATTTCAATCTCAGTCTGGCAAAAGCTGAATAATAGAGGAGATAGTGACGATATGAGTCCACCTCGCCTCCCAAAATATAGCTTTAACAAAAAGTTTCCAACTAAATATTTAGCCGCAACGAGTGTAAATCTATTGGACAGTGTCCAGTCAGAACAAATACAATTTGCGGAGAGATTGACCTTGCTTACAGCAAGTAGTTCAGAAAGGCTCTTACAGCTCACTCTGGGCAAGAATAATCGCACAGTCGCACAAGTTCTGGTTTTCGAGCAGCGCTTGCTAAGCTCACTGGGTGTTTTTACGTTCAATGCCATGATGCAAGAGATTATCAGAAAACCGACTCGCTTTCAATCCACGAACTAGTTCCTCAGTTTTGAAGATATCGATCTGATATTTTGCACACATACTTCTCTTTCCAAGAAGCTGTTCATTTGTTGGAACTGATGATATCGAACCACTATAACATATAGCTGTCATACAAACTGAACGATCGGAATCAAGTGTTTGTATGGAAAACTTTCTCATTTGCCATGATATCCACACAAAAATTGGCAGGGAATATTGCTAAATGAAATGGTACAATCCTCAGAAAAATTATTCAGATCCGACGTCTATAGCATATATCAGACATACAAACTGAACGATTAGAATCAAGTTCTTGTATGAAAAACTTTTTTATTTGAAACAATATCTTAACGAAATTTAACATGGGTCATTATCGATTACAACGTTACAATCTCCGAAGAAATCATTCAGATCGGACCACTATAGCATATAGCTGTCATACAAACTGAACGATCAAAATCAGGAACTCGTAAGGAATTGTTTATTAATTGAAGGTATTATGGCTTCGATACATACATAGCTAACCTTTGCTTTCATTTCTTACTTATTCACAGCTGTCTTACCGCATTCTCAAACAACAACAAAATATACATTTATTTTTTTTAAATTAAGAATGTCGTCATAATCGCTTTTATTTTGAATATCATGTTATTTTTGTTATTATTATTTGTTTCTAACTGTCTTACAACATTCATTACTCATGCTAACTCGGGTTTTATTGATCATTTTGGTTTTATAGTTTTTTAGCATATTAACGTTTTATTTCCATTTACTTTATACTAAATTTTTTGCTACATTTTTGTTATTGTTGTGCCACCGCAAACCAATGAAGTCATACAATAACGTACAACACAACACAAAACACAAACAACATATTGGAAAACAACAGCAGTGGGGGTTAAACGGCACTCAGCTAATTCACCACACATATACTATATGTATGTACATACATTGATATATAAGTAAGTATATGAGTGTAAATAAGTATGTGTATTTGTTGTTGTTGTTTTTAAGCAGTTTGCTACCAATGATGACATAATACCATAAAGAATATGAGCGCAGCACGTCGTCGGCAGCGAAGTGTACTCAACTCCGTGTCACGAAGGCGAGTGAAAGAGGAATTTGTATACCATATGTGTGTGTGTGAGTGCAAGTAGATGTGTTGGCTGTTGCCGCATCCTTGAGGCGGCCAAATAAAGTGGAACGAACAAGAACAGCAAAAAAACAACAACAACAAGTTGCAACATTGAGTCGCCAAAGTAGCAAATTGAGGAAAATGACAACAACAACTTAGCGTTGAAAGAGAAAACTCCGCAAAATAAACAACAAAAAGGAAAGTGTGAAAAAACTGAGCAAAAAAATGTGCAAAGTGCAAGGAAAATATGCAATGCGCCATATTGCACGGACGAAGTGAAGCCTAGCGAGGTACAAATACACACACAAGCAAAAATTTTGTTGCATTTTTTTGCAGGCTTACAACTATTAGCTCTTTGCCAATAGCTCACCACCCACTCGTTAAAATTCTTTGCCGGTTTGTATTTATTTGTGTGTCAAATACAAATTGACCGCGCCTGCTTGGCAACATGTTGATAGATGTATGTATGTTGCTGTATAATTGCACGTTTCTTTCCCTATATACATACATAAATATACATATGTGCGCGTGCAAGTATTTTCTGTATTGTTTATATCAGTAAAATTTCAAATCAACACCGTTGGGCAAAATTCTTGATGTTGTTATTGTTGCTGAAATTGATGTACTGGCATGTGCGAGATGTTGCAGGTGCTGATGGCAATGTTGCTATTGGCCAATTGCTGTGTTCGATGACTAATGCATTTCATAATATGGCTGTATATATTCGTATATACAAAAATATGCACATATGTATGTATAAAGGTTTGTATGTGTGTAAGCTGGACGTGTGTGTTTTCATAAATTATAGGCAATGTGTTTTAAATGTACTTTGCGCAAACAAAATTTTGCTGTTTATAAAATTGGTAAACCTAATTATTTGTATGAAAACAGCTAAAATAAAAATATTGTATAATAATATTTTTTATAAAGAAAAATTAAATGGCGAGCAATTTTTTGTAATTAAAATTTATAC